GAAGATAGAAGTACTAACTACTTTGATTTGATTATTATAGTTCATGAATATGTACCAAATTAGTACCTAAAATTAAAATAATAAAGACAAAAGACTAAGAAAGACGTTCACATAATTATCTCTTAGGTATTTCTCCTGTGAACAAGCTTGTTACATTATATAATGTAGCTTAAGCATTCTGGAGAATGCTCTTAGGACTTTTTTTTAAAATCAGTGGCAACTATTTGATGGTTGAAAATGGAAAGCAATAATAGATCTCTTACCAGTTTTCTCCTAAAGCCATTTCTTTGATGATAATTATGGAAATCAATTGCATTATTTATTTCAGTCATTCCTGATCAACAATAATTTTGAAAAAATAAAACATCTGAAAAAAAAACCCTCAATCATCATACATACTTCTAACATACAGTGGAACAAGATTATCATCCCCTTTCCAAAAGGGGATACTGTACAGTTAGCAAAGAAAAAAATCAAAGCAAAACAAAAGTCAAGCAAGGCAAATACTAAATCTTATATAGTTCTATATCTGGCATTCTGAGCTTGTTGTGGCATCATCTGGCCTCCACTGGAAGCTCTTTCAGCTCAACTACTTGTAGCACACATAGCACACATAGCTTCTCTTGGGCTGGCCCAACTCCATGTCTGCAGCTTTCCTGAGTGTATGTCTTGTGGTCTGGAAATGTTCAACATCTTGGTATCTCCACTGTAATTTAAGCTTCACTTTTAAAGACTTATAAAAATGGCATCTCAAGGCCTCCTTGCAGGGATTCTGCCTTGCCGCAAATTGCTTGGTCTCAGTGGCTTTCTGTGACTTTTTGTGCAAGCCTCCATGACCCCTAAATCTTTTTTATTTCTTTGAGACAGACTCTCACAATGTAGCCCTGGTTGCCTAGAACTTGCTTTGTAGACTAAGCTAGCCTCCAACTCACAGAGGTCTACCTGCTTCAGCCTCCTGAGTGATAGGATTAAAGGTGTGTACCATCATGCCTGGTGGACAAACAACTCTTGTAATCATATACTTGCAAAACTATGTGGACAATGCTGCCAACTTCTACTGTCAGTTCAAGATGTGGTCTAGCCTCTCAGGTGTCGTGGTCTTCCACAGTGACTGAACTTGAGAAACACATCCAAGCAGAAGTTTTTGAGGAGAGAACTCGTTCATCAGCAGTCTCAGTCTAGAGTCTCTCTTTCCTAATAAATGAAGTTGGAGTCATTGATGGGTGGGGAACTGACCTCAGGGTACCTTTATTGTCCTAGCAGATCTTGAGATTTCTCTTTAATGCTACTAATCTTTTTAATAATTGCTGTTGATATGCCATAAACTGGATTTTATGGTTTCTTAAAATTTATTTTGCTGAACACTTTAGTTAATTACTTACGAATTCAGCATCACTCAATTTTTTCAGATATAGGCCAAATGTAGCCAGATTCTTTGTTAGGATATCACATGAATGTCCTTGTCTTCTCTGAAACCTGTGAGTAGGACTTTCACTCTCCACATTTACCTCAGTCTTCTGATCTCAACTCCCACTGAAATGGTCCATTAATCTCTGCTTGCAACATTCTATCCCAGGACTTCTCTGTCCCATAACTCTAAACTCTTCCATATC